ACTTTTTGGGAACTCAAAACCATAAATATTTTCGGCTCCTTTTCATGATCCGATCCCGTATGTTTTGCATGCTTGTACAATATCACAATAAATTAATCAAAATTGAGGAACAATAGAATTACATTTTAATGACTTCATTTTCTTTTTATGATGAAAAGTTATGGTTAGTGCATATATATATTCAACGTCAGTTTATTAGTAAAAAAAATTAAGTTTTCTTCACATTTTTAACAATTCAAAGAAAATATTGATACGAAAGTTTTAAATTGAAGCTTTTTTCGACGTGACACGTATGCCATCATTTTTATCATTTGTTACATTTCAGTTTCTAGTACAGCAAACTAGACTAAGATTATGAGAGTGTTAACCTACAAACGTACAAAAAGCAAGGGGCTGTTCATCGAATAAAATTGGCCGGCAGAAGCACCATTGATGCATTGAAGCACTAGACATATTCCAAGAAAAAGTAAGCAAATTCTTGGAAAAAGGTCATTTTTCTTGAAAAGCACTAGTAATTTTTGATGCTTCATTGGGAGGCAGCCGACAGAAGCACTACGATGATTTACCCCTTGACAAAAAGGTATAGCTCAATAATTTCGACTTTCAGAGTCTCTCTAACTTCCATCGAATTCAGAGTGTTCTTCAAGATGAAACTTTTCGTTTTTGTGATATTTTCAGCTTTTTGTTTGATCAACTGTGAGTATTTTTAACATTAAGTACATATTGTAACGACTTTTTTAACAACACGTTGTTCTCAGCTGAGGAACGGATAGAAAGAAATTCCTTTCCTTTAAGTGGTAAGTGTATGATTCCACGATCCTGCCCATCAACGAAACCTCATTTCAATCCCATAACATGCAAATGTGAATGCAACATAGCTTTGATAAGTTGTTTTGGAGTATCCAGAGTCAATCCTAGAACATGCGCTTGTGAGCGTTTTTGTCCTCGGTTAAGATGCAGATATCCCCTTTTACCCAACCAAGAAGCTTGTAAATGTGAATGTGCACAAAAATTATGTGGAGGATTAACTGTTCTCAATCCGAAGACGTGTGAGTGTGAATGTCCTCCTAGGAACTGTGGAATTAATCAGGATTTCGCTTTGAATCCAAAAACATGTCAATGCGAGTGTGTAAAAAAATGTAAACTACCATTTATTTTACATGAAAAGAAATGTCAATGCGAATGTCCTGCAAGGGAATGTGGAATTAATTCGCATTTCGCCTTGAATCCAAAAACATGTCAATGCGAGTGTTTATTAAAGAAATGTGAGTCACCATTAATTTTAGATGAAAAGAATTGTAGATGTCGAGTTTGCGACAAGGGAGTAAATACTGCTCTATAACAAGAAAACTAAAAGCTTCGAAATAAAATGATATTTTGACGAAATGTTGTGTATGTTAAATCTTAAAACTGTTTTTCCAGATTTTTGAGACTCAAAATATTTTTCCTGAAAATAAAATAACTAAGAAAAATTCGTTATTAGCGCTCCAAAAAATTAATCAGACAGAAACAAAAATATAAATTTTTCTGAATATGTTGACCGCTGGTTGATTTTATATATTTTTTTTTGTAACAATAATTTGATAAAAAAAATATGGTTAGTGCATATATTCTACGTCAATTTATTAGTAAAAAAATGAAAATTTCTTCACATTTTTAACAATTCCATGAAAATATAGAACGGAAGTTTTAAATTGAACATTTTTCTTCGTCGTGACACGTATGCCATTATTTTTATCATTTGTTACATTTCAGTTTCTAGTACAGCAAACTAGACTAAAATTATGAGAGTGTTAACCTACAAACGTACAAAAAGGTATAGCTCAATAATTTCGACTTTCAGAGTCTCTCTAACTTCCATCGAATTCAGAGTGTTCTTCAAGATGAAACTTTTCGTTTTTGTGATATTTTCAGTTTTTTGTTTGATCAACTGTGAGTATTTTTAACATTAAGTACATATTGTAACGACTTTTTTAACAACACGTTGTTCTCAGCTGAGGAACGGATAGAAAGAAATTCCTTTCTTTCAACTAGTAGGTGTGGGGGGAATCGCCAACTCCTTTGTCAAAGAGGGCAATATTTGAATCCCAGAACATGCGTTTGCGAACCTCTTTGCCCTTATATAAGATGCAGGCCACCCCTTGTCGTCAACTACAAAAATTGTAATTGTGAATGCGAACCACTTTTATGTGGACCATCAGTTTTTCTTAATCCGAACACGTGTACGTGTGAGTTATGCGTGGAACAAAATTGCGATGGTAATTTTGTTTGGAACTCACAGAGTTGTCAATGTGAATGTAGGCCATTAAGAATGATCTGTCCTTTTGGTTCTTCTTGGGACCCTGTGACGTGTCAATGCACATAAGAAAATTTCGTGCAAAAAGTAGGCAGTGTTAAGTTGTGCTGAATATAAAAATTCTTTTTTATATTATCATCTACATACACTATATTCTACATATCATGGCAGTAATTTTTTGTTCTTGGCAATCTCCATTTTTGCACCACAAGTCGTCAAAGTGGACCATGTCATGATCAAAAATATAATAAAATTTGTCTGTTATTTTACAAAACCTTAAATACCTACCTCAAAATTTTTATTCATAGA